AGCACCACCTGGAGCAATCACCAGTAAAGAGTTGGGAATAGCTTCTGACCACAGTTAGGCAGGGCCCAGTGCTTCCCCCCCGGCCCCCGCACCCATCACAAACACACATACACACACACACACACACACACACATATACAAAAAACACTGAAAAGGGTTCTGACAAACTGTCAGACAAACAATAGCTGTCTCAGGAGAGGGCAGGTGAAATTTCTAGACATGAGACACAGCATGAAATTATAAAGAGGCATGATTATTAAAAATGAATTAAAAAGGCTTAACAGAAAACATAGCTAGATAAAATAAAATGAGAAATAGAAAAAAATGAAAGAGGGAGGCAAGCAGACTGAATGTGCTTTAGAAATTTGAGATTTAAGAGCTCAATCTGAATTTCACAGAAAAAGAAAAATAAATAGTCCAATAACTTGAGAGCAGGAATTTCTGCCAAGCTAACAGTAAGACAGAAAGGGAATATCTGGCAACTGTATTTTGAATAAACTGGCAGGAAAACATATACAAACAAAAATAATCAAAATATAACACATACTGCTCTTGAAACTGATAGATTGTGCTGTTACAAGAAAGAAATATAAAAGAAACATACTTGAATATAAAAATAAGCTTGACAGTATTGCGATAGGTATATTTCCTAAGATTTTTACCAACTGTTTTGAATATGTGCGAAAGGTTACGGGGCACAGGGGCCTGCCCATGAAGGGTCCAGGGGCACAGGAGCAGATTACAGACACTGCATACATATTACTGAAACTACTGACTTGTTTAACTCTCTTTACTAGATTGTTCCCAAATGAATTTAAACAAGTAGCCTTATTTTGTATGTGGTTTGGTAACATTCCTTGGAATTTATCCTGGGAAAAGCTAGTAAAGCTATTATGGTCATTGATGTAGGATAACAATGGTTTTTCCTTTCACCCTTGCCACAGGGAGTTTAGGTTTATCCTGTTAACACCCATCATAATGCTCCTGAGTCACTCCCATCCTTTATTTATCTGTAACCTCTTCTCTGTGCTCTCCTCCCCAAACAGTTAATCAGCTTTGTTCCTAAACAGATTCTGTTAATTTGTAAGGTCAGATCCTTCTAAGGACACTGAACTTGTATTGTAAGTTAATATTGCCTTTCTCCTCTCCTTATCTCTTTTGTATAGCTTACTTTAAAAAAATTTTTTAAGGATATGAATTACTGGGGGCTAGAGTGATAGCACAGTGGGTAGGGCATTTGCCTTGCATGCAGCTGACCTAGCCAAACCAGGTTCTATTGCTCTGACCCTCTACAATAGCCCGGCAAGCTACCAAGAGTATCTCGCCCGCACAGCAAAGCCTGGCAAGCTACCCGTGACATATTCGATATGCCAAACACAGTAACAATTGTCACAATGGAGACATTACTGGGCCTGCTCAAGCAAATCAATGAACAATAGGAGGACAGTAACAGTGACAGTGATGATATACTGGGGGCTGGAGCGATAGCACAGCTGGTAGGGCATTTGCCTTGCATGTAGCCGACCTGGGTTCCATTCCTCTGTCCCTCTCGGAGACCCTGGCAAGCTACCGAGAGTATCACACCCGCACGGCAGAGTCTGGCAAGCTCCCGGTGGTATATTCAATATGCCAAAAACAGTAACAACAAGTCTCACAATGGAGATGTTACTGGTGCTCACTTGAGCAAATCTATGAACAGGAGGACAGTGCTACAGTGCTACAGTTTCGAATATGTGGAATCATTAAACCTTGATGTTATAGAAATCTGACCTGGAAAAAACCAGCACTTGAGAGATTACTGTGGACTCAACCTGGCTCATACCACAAAAGTAAATTCCTAAGCTTTGTCCACACAGTGTGTATACAATATATTTTGAAGGACTTACTTTGATTAATACAATTGAAATCAGGTATACCCTGTCACTGTCACTGTCACTGTCCTCCCGTTGTTCATCAATTTGCTTGAGCGAGTCCAGTAATGTCTCCATTGTGATACTTGTTACTGTGTTTGGCATATTGAATACATCACGGGTAGCTTGCCAGTCTTTGCCAAGTGGGTGAGATACTCTAGGTAGCCTGCCGGGCTCTCTCTACTGGAGATATTTCCCCATATTTTTATTCAGCTACCCAGACACAGATCTTGTTTGTCAGACCCTATGTTTTACAATATTATCTTGACCATTTGGTTCCCATCTGATTTGTGGGAGAAATTTAATTCCCATTGCTCTTGTGAGGCCCATTTTATCCATTGGGAGAAACTTACTGTCTGCTTGTTCCTGGAGTGACTTATTGTCCAGCGTTTACTCCTAACTGCCCCTTCAAATGCAAGAGCTGGAGTGAGGCTTCCCTGCTAGCTCATCTTTGTCATAAGTTCTTTACCATTTTATATATGAGGAAGAAAAGTCTTGGAATGTTAAGTAACTAATGTTGAAGGTTATATAACTAGTGAATAATAGAGCTAGGGTTAGAATTTTAACATATCATAAATATTCAACTGATAATACTGCCTGCAGTGGTAGTTAAAACTGCATATGGTATCATATATATATATATATATATATTTATAAAGAGAGAGCTAAAATTCAATGCTGATACAAGATTCATTCTAGATTTCCTATCAGTTATCCCTGGTTCTTTGAAAACAAATATGCATGTGAGATATATTAATTTATACTCGTTATGAGAATTTGGGGGGTACAGGTGGAACAACCTGCTGTTCTCAGGGCTAACTCCATGCTCAATGCTCAAGGAATACTCCAGGGAAGACTCGGGGAATCATGTAAGATGGCAGGAATCAACTGTAGTCAGGCAGGCTTCATTGCCAGGTCACCCTAACTACTGGATGTTATGTCCAGACCCAAAATTTAAGAACTCAAAATCAGCACTGAAAATCAACAGAAGAATTTGTTTAAATTTGTCCTTGATATACATCTTCCCAAAATATTGAATCTATATTGAAAAAATAAATTATAGGAGAATAGTTTGGTAGATAGTAGTCAAAAAGTGATGATGAAATAATCTGACTGAAATGACCTGACATAAGAATTGATCTCAGGGTCAGAGCAAAAGGACAGTGGGTAAGGTACTACCTTGCAGGCAACCAATCCAGGTTTGATCCCCAGGACCACACATGGTCCCCTGAGCCCACCATGAGAGATAGATTGCTGAGCACAGAACCAGGAGTAAACCCTTATCACTCCTGGCTTTCTTCCTCCAAAATGCATTGGTCTTAAGTGTGAAATGTCTCATGTTCCAAATTATAATATTAATTTTCCTACAGTTGTTTTTGGGCTGGAGTGATAGCAGAGCAGGTAGGGTGTTTGCCTTACACAAACTGGGTTTGATTCTTTCACCCCTCGGGGAGAGCCCGGCAAGCTACTGAGAATATCTCGCCCGCACAGCAAAGCCTGGCAAGCTACCCGTGATGTATTTGATATTCCAAACACAGTAACAAGTCTCACAATGGAGACGTTACTGGGCCTGCTCGAGCAAATCGATGAATAATAGGAGGACAGTGTGACAGTGCTACAGTTACCTGTTAGCAAATATATATTAATATAAATATATATTAGTTACCTGTTAGCAAATACATCTCTTGACTCAAAGGTACGTTTTTAAACCCAAGGCAATGATATAGCAAGTTCTTTGGAAAAACATTTGTCGGAAATCTGCTATAAATTTTCAGATACAGTGAGTACAATTTCCCATTGTAATATAAGGTATTACTATATTCAAAAAGAAAAGAAAATAAATGGGATCTTAGTTTGTTAGCATTACTACAGTCTTTGGACCACAAAATTGGATATATTAATTAAATTAAATTAAAGATATATACTGAGAAGTTGATGGCTATTAGAACTCAAACAGTACTGAGCAGTGAACAATATTACACAAATAATTTTCTATGTTTTTTCAATATACTTTGTATTCCTTCAAAGAACAACAACAGGTTTATATATTTGCAATAAACTAAAGAAACATATGGTTTTGAGTACTTACTAAATGGCCTCAAACTTATAAAAAAATGATGCTACTACAGTGTAATTTTAAATATTTATGACAAATTATTCTTATTAGGATGGAAAATATACTTTTCACACGTATACTCTCATCTTCAAAAATTGTTTCCTTGATTCAGCCCCTTTCTTTCTTACTACTAAACTTCTTGTAAGAATTGGTGATACTAATCACAAAATTAATTACATATAAACTCTTGAACACATTTTGTTCACCCTGTACAGTTCCTCTCTGGTGACCAACAGTCTACTCTAAAATTTCAATACAGGCCTTCTACCTAAGACATCAAGATCAGACAACGTAGTATAAAATTTATGTCTCTGAGACAGCCACTTTATTGCTCTGTTTAATAGCTAAAGACACCATCACCTATCCTATCATATTTTGTCACGGTGCTTCGCTCATATTATTTTTGCTGGGGAAATCAAGCTTCTTTGCCATGTCCACAAACATTCTACCCTCACGTTTCAGTCTTTCGTCTTCTTCCAAAACTTTTTTATTGAAAGATTCAAAAGTACTCTCTATCTCATATAAACTATACAATGCAGCATATTTTCACACAGAATTCCTCATTTTAATGATCACTTTATAAATTGTCTATATATATATATATATATATATATATATATATATGTCTTTTCTGGCCTTCTAGCTTTTAAATGTATTTAAGCAAGAATTGTCACACTATCATTTTTATATCATCCGAAGCCCAATGGCCTGATTCATTTCCAAACTATATATTACTGTGTGTTTATTAAGTAAATAAATTTGTTATCTAACAAGATATAAAAGTATCAATAATCTAGCAGTGTTAAAAAGTCAGAAGCAGATAACTGAAGCGACTGTTCTCTGAATAATAAGGTAATATGAACTATCTTCAGGCTTTCTTCTATCAGTAATAAAATATAATTTTATAGATTACTTAATCCTTGTACTTATGATATGATAAGAAGACTTGTTTCAAAGCAGTTACAAATCATTACCTTTACTTGCACTTTCTACATGTTCCAGTTCTTCTGGAAATTTCAGGATATCACGATATTTTTCTTCACAAATTTCCGCAATAAAATGCAAGAGGGTTGTTTTTTGATCAGATGACTTAGTATCTCTGATCTGTAAGAAAACAGAATTTTTCAGTATCTTTAAAATCAATAGATGTTTTCCTTAAACAAGTGAAATGAATTAATGAATAAGTTCAATTTATTATAGTTCATTTAAAACAAATGATTTAGAGGCCAGAGCAGGTGGGGCACTTGCCTTGAACTTGGGTGCCACTAGTAAAATCCCCAGTGGGTTTTTATTCATAGGGTTCCCTGAACTCTGACAGTAGTGACCCTTAGGTTCAGCATCAGAAGTAAGTGCTAGGTTTGATTCCAAACCTTTTAAAAAGAAAGAAAGAAAAACTCACCTAGCAACAACAACAAAAAAAAGGAGGCAATTTTCCAATGGGTTCTAGCAGTATTCTCATAAATTTAAAAAATTAATTTCACAAAAAAGCTTTGATATTAAAAATGTCTAAATCATCATGACAAAATGAACTATTATCTTTATGAGAAGACAACTCACTTCACTATTGCTAATAATAGACCAAGATAATGTGTTCTTATGTTATCAGCATTTTGTTCTTTGCTTTATATAGCTTTTCTTGAAAGCTCAATTCACTTACAAATATTATTAAAATGAGTGAGCACACGCTTTACTTGCATTAGACATAAAAAAATAACTAGAGTCTCCTCTTTTTTGTTTTGTTTTGTTTTGCTTTTTCATGGAGAAGGGGCACACCTGGCAGTGACTGAGGGCTAGTCCCAGCTCTGTGGTATCTTTCTGGCACCAAACTAAAGACTGCTTATCTTGACAATTCAACAGAATCTGACAGCGCAATCAGGATAATATGCCAAATTTTATTTGCCTGCTCACTATTAAATTTGTCTGGTTACATTTCATATTTATGTGTCTCCTTTACAGAGGCACTATATAATAATATATAGTTACAATGTGAAAAAATAAATAAAGCATAGCAATTATGATGTGAGAAAGTGATTTCTTTAATGAGCATTCATATTTTTTACTAACTGCAAATGAAATCAAGAATTTACTTTTAAAAAAGGAAATATGCATAAAGTATCAAGTTCCATCATTTTATTGGATATTTTAATTCTATAATCCTTAGATGATGGATTTGTGCACTGATGTTCATACTGATGCACGGTTTTAGGCTTTAAGGATTACTATGCTTAGAATGAATGGGGATTCTCGACAAGAAGGGTTATGAAAAGCCTGTGGAAGGCATTTAGATAATTACAGAATAATTTAATCCTTATTGTTTCAGTCACTAAGAAAATAAAATCAACACATTTAACAAATCAATATCATATGGAATTTTTTTGCAATGCAGCTTTTCAGTTACTCTTTTTGTCCCAACGATAGAAAAACTGAAATGAAATATTAATCTCAGAGCTCAGAACAAACATCTACGGGAGGTACAATCTTGATAGTTCAAGTGATCACAATTATTATTTTAGAATTTTACAATTGCTTTAATCCCACAAGAACAAAATTATTGTGCTGATCCCTTAAACACATTTAAATACTACAAGTTGAAATGGCAAAATTCAAGGACGAGCTTTAAGGACAAAAAAACAAGCTCCGTAAACGTCATCATGGCTTGAAGCTTGGCACTGTGAAATAATCAATGGGAGTTTCACTTTCCTAATGAGAGGTAGATTTAGTATTTTCATGAAGTGCATGTTTAAGAACAATTAAGCTATTCCAAATAATAAGAAAAATAAAATTTTCTTACAAATTAAATGAACTCTTAAATTTTATAAACATTAAGATGTGGCACAGGAAAAATAAAATTTTATATTTCTTATCTAAAGCAAATCAAATTGATGTATACGTTGTGAAGGCTACAAAGATAATTTTTTTTAAAAAAAGAACAAGACACAAAGTTATACATTATCATTCTATTTGTTATCTCTGTGGTCAATATATATCTTTTTTTATTGCTTTTCACAACAACTTATAATGTTAAGGGGTTACTCCTAACTCTGCACCCAGAAATCACTCCTGGAAGTGCTTGGGGAACCAGATAGGATACTTGGGATCAAACTCCAGTCAGCTGTGTGAAGGCAAGCACTGTACCCACTGTATTATCTATCCTGGTCAAAAATCCCACAAATCAGGTTCAGAAAAATACTATAGTGGCTAAGGCACTAGCACTATATGCAATGAAACCAGATTCAATCCCCAACTTCTTGAGTAGCGTTAGGAGTTATTCCTAAGCACAGTGAGATATGGCCCCCAAACAAACAAAGAAGCAAGCAAATTAATAAAATCCATAAATAGACTATAACACTAGAAATGTGCTCATATGTCAGTGTTGTAAGTTATTTAATAGTTGAACTTCCAGCATATACTTGTAAGTACTTAACTTTTAAACTAATATTTCTCTTTCTTTTAATTGAAAATCTTTTTTAAATCTATTCATGTAATTAAAGAATTTTAATGATACCAGTGATTACTTTTTAAGATGATAAATAAGACATGGCATTCTAGTTAAGTCATAATTTTAGTTTGTGAAAATCAGAAAGAGCTATGGACAGAGTATCCCTGTGCTTTTTAATAATTATGATATGTCCTTAAAAGCTCGATGAGATGCATCCAGATGACTCTCTTGCAAAGTTGAACAACAGTTTAGTTGTGATTGGAGGCAAAGCTTCAAACTTATATATAGTATTTATTTTTCAAAAAGTCTCAAACAGGGCCTGGAGTGATAGCACAGCAGGTAGGGTGTTTGCCTTGGACGCGGCCGACCCTGGTCTGATTCCCAGTATCCCATACTGTCCCCTGAGTACCGCCAGGGATAATTCCTGAGTGCAGAACCAGGAGTGATCCCTGTACATCGCTGGGTGTGACCCGAAAAAAAAAAAAGGTCTCAAACAGAGTTGATTTTAATGTCTAATGTTCCAAACTGATGTTCAAATCATGACAAATATGTCAACTTTTAGTACTCTTTCTATAAGTGTATGACTCTAAGGTCAATTATTTAAGGGGAGATAATTTTTACATTTAAAAGGTATTCACTTCATAGTACTGTGCCTCTTGTCTCTTACATTGCCTCTATAACATTCACATATTTTAGACATTCTGTTGTTTTTCTTTCAGGACAAACTTTATTTATCAGTGTCATCAGAGAGCTAAGTATATTAACCATCAACAGTATTTAGTGAATAAATTATTCCTACTCATGAGCTAGATGTATATATATACATGTTTTGGAGTAGAAAAAAAAAGTAATCAAATCTGAGTATGTGCAAAATCAAATAAGTGTTTGAGTTCATCATTAAAAAATAAAATTTACTTCCACTTTTTATCTGGTTAAGTGAAAATATGTCATTTTACATTAACATCAAACATTCTAATAATACATACCCAGATTGTCAAAAATGTCACTGGTGGAGGTACTGTTAACTGTTTCATGTTTGTCTTCAGTAAATTCTAGTAAAGTTGAGCATCCCTGCCTATATTCTCTCTATCTTTAAATATCAGGAACAGCAATTAGGCAATAGAATGAGACTGTTATACAAGATGCAAAAAGATGAATAAAATTCTGACTCTGTAATGCCTTATCATATACATATTTTGAAATACTGAAACTCCCCAAACCATTCTAGAAATTGGAAATGTTTGAAAAAGATAAAAGGACTTTCTATTATTTGAAAACTCTAGTTATAAATGTACTTTTATTCTTTTATGTTTTTATTATTCTATTATCTGGAAAATGTTAGATATATAATGATTAATAACTAGTCTTATTAATTATACATAACTAATGCTTAAAAACTTTCTGAAAGGGTACATGATTAAAAACAAAATAATACCTGATTATATCACATATAATGATAATTTGCTTTTCTGATGAATATGAATATTATATATTTGTGGAAGTACACACCCAGCTGTGCTCAGGGACGACTGTCTGGGAGAACAAAATTCCTGGGATTGAACTCTGGTTTTCTGTACACAAAACACATGTTCCAATCCCTTAAACTGCTTTCTTGTTCTATGAATTATACTATGAAAGATAAAATACATTTGATATGTTAAACACATTTCTAAAATTTAAGTTAGGCATAGGGCAGACGTTCGAATGGGTCATCGCCGCCACGGGGGGCGTGCGATCGGCCCGAGGTTATCTAGAGTCACAAAGAAGTTGATAGGGCAGACGTTCGAATGAACATTAGGCATACAAAAAGTATATGGATAACTAATTGTCATGTAAGGTATTTTTTAAAATTTCAAGTATATTCATTTAAGCCCCCAAATCTTCAGAATTGACTCTGGTTCTGAAGGCAGGCTTTTTGAGCAAAAGAAAAAAAAAATCAACACATAGCCAGAGAGCCTCAGACAACAATGTTTTAATCTTCTATGGGAGTCACACTCAATTTTTCTGTGAGGACCCCTTGGGTAGGTAATTTTCCCTTCTGCTGAGAGTTAAGCTTATTTTTTTCTTACTTTGTCCTCAGTCAAAAATGAAAATATACTTACTATCCTTTGTGTCCTTCCACAAATTGAAATTTCCCATCTTGTGTGTCCTGTTCTTTAGAGCAAATTATTTAATTTCCTTAACCTCTCCACACAGATTTGTTTTTAGTATTTGAATTTGTCAAGATAATTTCTATCCATTTAAATTTTCTATTGCTAAGACTTCCCTCATCTGCTAAAAAGGCAATCAGAATTTTAGATTTTGCAAATAAAGTCATTTAAGAGCAGACATTTATCTTTTACTTCTGTTCTTTAGTCTGGTTATATCTGCTTTAACTTATCACTTTAAGCATCTTCTCCTGTTTGACATACTTCCCCACCCCCAACTTTAACCCTTACCTTCCATTTAAATCCCCAGTCCTAAGTCAAGACAATCCACCGAAATATGTTCTATCTGAAGACTGCTCTGTCTCAGGACTAATTAAGTTAGTCTTTTCCATGTTACTTATCTGTAAGCATGTCAACATAGTAGTTTTTTTTCCATTCAATCTGAGCTATTTCATAACAAAGACCCTACTTTAACACTGGCTTTTCCCATTATACCTAGGAAAACTCAGTGACAACTA